CCTTTTGTAACTGAGATATTTCACTCAGTTTAATGTCCTCCAGGATCACCCACTTTGTATATTTCATGAGATCCTTGTTTTTCAGTGCTGCATAGTATTCCATTGTGTGAATACATCACAGCTTCTCTATGCATTCATTTATTGATGGGCACTTAAAAGGAATATTTTTAAAAGGCCTTATTTGTGTATGACAACAGTCCCAAATAAGATGTGCATTGCAAAGTGGACTGGGGAGGGGTTGATTAGAGGGGAAGAAATCATGCAATGAATTAATGAATTAATTTTTTTTTAACTGAATGGGGGAGGTAGGGAGAAAAATGTGAAATAATGACTGAATGAAAACCCAACTTTGTTGTAAACGTTTGTCAAAATCACAATAAAAAAAATAAAATATCTGGGAGCATAGACCACCATCGCAAAGCTCTGTAGAAGAGTTCTCTCTCAATGGGGCTTCAGAGTCCTTGCCTCTCCTTCACCACAAAGCTGACCCTGAGTTTCATGTTTATCCCACACCATATCCACTTTCCCCAATCCCATTACTTGCACATTCCCTCTGGATTCCGGAACACAGATCTTTGCCAAAAAATATAAGGACACAGTACACGGAAGGCACCAGCTGAGGCCTGACATGTGGTAGACATTTAATGAATGAATGCCGCCTGCTACCGTCAAGGTCACCATCAGCATCACAATGTGACCTGGACTGCCTTGGCCTCTTGCTGAGACTGTCCTGCCACCCCCCGCTCTGGGCTTGAGGGAGCTGGAGGCATTATCACCAGCCTCCTCCTATTTCACACTCCACCCCCATCCCCAAGTGTAGATTGTCCTTTGGCAGACCTTCTTGGGTTCAAAATGTCCTGACTCTTCCACTGTTTTCAATGTAGGCCCACGCAAGTGCGCACACAAACACAGAGACCCACGCCACAATGCGTACTGCCTTATGCGTCCTGAGCCTGGTCTCTGCTTAGCCTGCCAATCCAGAGGAAGCAGAATGAAACCCAAATGCTGCTCTAGGGCACCCATGGTGTCTGGGAAGCTGGGCTGTGACTCGGGCCCACTTCTGGATGAGCTTGAACCTGACAGAGCCACCTGCCTTCGAGTCTTTTTTTTGAGCCTGATTCCAATAATCAAATTCTTTTAATAACCAAACAGAGTGCTATCGCATACTGCAGAAGACCCCGGGAGGTCTGGCACAAGCTTCTAATTCAACAGCAAAGGCAAAGGTTTCATTCAATTCCATAAAAGTTCACGTCTTTACTCTCCAGCAAGCTCAGATCTCCTTAAATCCTCTGTAACGTGCAGCTGCACACGTTAAAAAGCTGTGACTGATCAAAACAACTATGAGTTATCATCTCACCACAGTCAGAAATAGCAAAATTTAACAGAACAGCAAGCAACAAATGCTGGCGAGGTTGTGGAGAAACTGGAACCCTTATTCACTGTTGGTGGAAGTGTAGAATGGTGCAACCACTGTGAAAGGTGGTGTGGCACTTTCTCAAAAAGTTGCAAATAGAGATACCATTTGACCCAGCAATTCCACTACTGGGAATATACCCTGAAGAGATCATAACTAACATCCAAGTAGATATATGCTCACCCATGTTTATCGCGGCTTTGTTCACAATAGCAAGGAGTTGGAAATAACCCAGGTGCCCATCAGCAAACAAATGGAGAGAGAAGCTGTGGTATATTCACACAATGGAATACTACGCTGCATTGAAAAACAAGGAACTCATGCAATATTATTCAAAATGAGTGACTCTGGAGGACATTATGCTGAGTGAAGTATCTCAGTCACAAAAGGACAAATATTACATGATGCCACTGTTGCAGAATGGAACTGACATCGGGGTTGGGGTAAGACTGAGAAAAACTGGATAAATTATGTATACTGCATTGAAACAGATGAGGGAGAGAATAATTTAAAAGTGATATATGATAGGGTATTATGGTTATCACAAGAGTCCAGAATTAAGGTTGCATAGTGGAGTATACTCGGGCCAGTGGGACGGGTGAGGGGGGATTGTATACCAAAGAAAGAATTTTTCTTTTACTTTTCAAAGAGAGATGCGAACTGGGGCAGGGAGGGCTGGGCAGGGAGAAAAGTGCAACAATGAATCAATGGCAATCCAAAATCTCTGTAAATGTGTATTAAAATTTATAAAATAAAATTTAAAAAAAAAAGCTGTGATGGATTTACTACTGATTCTCGGAGCACTTCCTGTAGATCAGCCCTGGTGTCTGTCCAGGCCAGGAAGCTTCACTTCATGGGTCAATAAGGAGCTGACAGCTAGGTTGGAACACTAGACCCAAAGCTGTAGACAGCTGCTAAATATGTGCATTATATTAAATGCAAGAACCAGAAGAGATGGCCATTAAGTGCCAGTAGAGAGGTATAAATAAGAAATAGTGCAAAGACTTCAAAAAGAGAAAGCAGATGCTAATTTCATTAATATATAAAAAAAATTTCTAGATCGGTAGGAAAAGGGTTAAAGACTGCAATCTTGGAAGAGTCACGATATGAGCACACACAATTTTGAAGCTACAGAAAATGCATAATAAATTGTCATTAAAGCCATATTTAGAAGATACTCGCAGTCTAAGTACTGTTAGTATGTTTGAATTTTTTTTACAACAAAACGTTATATATTTTTATGAATTGTGGAGGGGGGTGGAAAGGGATATAATCAGAGGTCTTACTTGGATCCTGAGTCAAATAATCAAAATGTTATAAAAAAAAAAGTGAGGGGGCATTAAATCCATCAGAGCAATCTGAACACTGATGCTGGCAGCACAAGTTGTCAGCGACGTGGTCCGTGGCATGTTGCAATGCTAACCAGGAAGCCTCGCTTCTCCAGTACGAAACCACCATAACCTCCTCTAGAGAAAGCCAGGCAATTTCCCTCCTTTAAGATTTACAGCTTCAGAAACCTAACAGGGGAGAGTTGCTGTCAGTCAGAATCAATGCGTGGCAGCGAGTTCAAAGTTACCAAGTGCTTTGTAGGTATAAGAACGATACTGTAATCTTAGTCTTTTTAAAAAGAGCTCTTTCTTACAGGTTGGGTTCAAAGTTCACATGCACCAGTTGTTTCACGCTGATTCATAAATGAAAACACATCCCAGAAAACAGAGCACTCGGGAAATTTAACAGCAACAAAAAAAAAAGGAATGAGGAACCTGTTTTAGATACTAATATGAAACAATTCCCAAAATAGATAAAGAAAAAACCATCAGAGCCAAACAATGTCAAAACATTTGCATTAAAATAAAGGCAGCAGCACAGTGTACTACGGGGCTGCTGGATGCAGACATCAGGAGAATTCAAGGATGCCTTGGGAAAGGGGCCCTGAGCCCAGGTGGAGGAGGGAAGTGAGGGGAGCAAGCGACCCTGGAGTTGGGGAAATGCAAATATCCTTGGGGGGGGGGGAGGCGGGAAGTAAAATAAAGCCAGCTGCTGCTGAATGAATGGATTCTGACTCATTTTTTCAGAAGTTGATCATTAGACATTTCAAAGGTGTCTCTGTTGCTGTTATATCATGTGTCCTATCATGTGCCGTCCTCACCCTTCCTGACACACTAGAGCCCATGCAGCAGTCACTGTTTCAATCCCCCTGGTCAAGTGTCTTCCTCTTCTTCCGCCGACCTTCCACCAGGCAGGTTCGGTGTGGTATAAATATCAGATTAAATTTTTCCCTAAGCTAAGACTGGCCTTTAATACAAGAGTTGTGTGTACCTTTGAGTCAGAACTGAGACTCTAAAGAGTCAGTGAGTCTCACAAGAGGAGATTGCTCATCTGTTTCCTGCAGAAGAGCTGGTGGATTTGAACCATGTGCCTTTGGGTTGTCAGCACAGCTCCTTACCACTAAGCCACCAGAGCTCCCTCAGTGCAGGAGTAGAAGGCCACATCTCCCTTGCAGGGCACTCTCAGTGGACCCAGACAGCAGGGACTTTAGGGTGAGCTGGTGTGCTCCGGGAGAAGGCACAGGGAAGGTAGAAGCTGGGTGTGGGGCAGGTGTGGGGGTGTCTCTGGCCTAGCTGCAGGTGGAGAAAAGGGATAAACTGCTTGAGCCTTGCCCCTAAAAGGCTCAGGAGTGGACAGAAGCAGGTCTAACCCCTCAAACCCCATCTTATCTGTTGCCAGAAGCTGGCTACAACTTTAGGGACTTCCCTGGGAGGCAGGCTCCCGGCTGTCTGAGGGTTACAAAGTGGCTGACCACTCAGCTGTTTCTAAACAGAGGGCTGCCTCTTGCCCACCTCAGCCTACCCCACAGCCAAGCTTCCTCTAGCCAGAGGGTTTGATTATGTAACCCTAGGAAACAGCTTCTCCCCAATGCCACCTTCCATCCCAGGCTCCAGCTTGTCATCCCCCACTGGGGCCACTGTCAACACTCACATCGACACAGGCAGCTGCTGACTCCACCCACGCTGGGGCACAGCACAAAGTTGGGGACAGAAAAGTGCAGGCTGAGAACAGATCTAGGGTTCTGAACACAGGTCTTGTCAGAGCAAGCTGGCCACGCCCCATCCATCCCGTGTTGTTGCTGCCATTGCGTCAAAACTGACCCATAGTTGACCCTCTAGTGAGTTCTCAGAGGCAGCAAATTGCATGGAAAGAGTGCCCATCCTCCCAATGAGCAGCTGGTGGGTTCAAACCGCATGCCTTTGGGACTGCAATGCAATTCTCACCACTGGGCCACCAGCGCTCCCTGCCTCAGGTGTACAGAAGCAGGGGAAGAGAGGTCATGGGATGTCAAAGAAACATAACAGCCCTCCTTATCTAATCACCCTGGTATCCCCAATTCTGCTTAAGAACAGAAGCATCTCTCCAGGCCCATCTATGAGAGGTTCCCATCTCTACTCCCCATCAACAGGCCACACATGAGCCACCAGAGAGGACAATGCCACCCCCAGCTCGCTGAAGACCAGCTGCCTGGGCAGCTCCTGCCCTGTCTGACCCCACCACCTCCCTTCCAGCCAGAGGACACAGCAGCAGCACTGACCTCCTCGGGGTCCTCAGCCAGGCTACCTCTCCTCCAGGGTACACCCCCTTGTGTGATGAAATCCACCACCTTTGAGTTCTGGAACATGGTCCCCAGAAAAGCAATCGCCTTGTCCACCGTCACCACCATCCGAAAGAGGGCTTCCAGCCTGGTGCCGTGCTGGGCAGCGTTCTGCTGCACAGCCCTCACCAGCTCCAGGACCTCAGGGCTCCCGGCCTGGGTGTTAGCTGGGGGAGCTCTGGGGGCAGTGACTGGGCTCAGCGCTTGGGAGGCCTCTGCCCGGTTAAGGCCTTGCTCCAAGCGATCCAGGCTGAGGCACACAAACTGCAGTGTCTCCGTGACGTGTTCTTGCAAATGCAAGAGCTTGTCGACCTTCTCATTCAGCAGGTTGAGCTTTCTGTCCATGGTGGTTAAACAGGCCTTGGCCAGCACGGGCAGGTCCTGGGATCCCAGACTCTCGCTGGGGGTTCCTGACATCGTGATGGCGGCTTGACACTGGTGGGGAAGTGGAAGGAGCACAGGTCTGCTTTTCCCTTTCACAGAAGTGTCTGGAAGCTCATTGTCCCCGCACGCTGACAGCCTCACTCAGTGGTGTCAATCCATCCCAACGCCCAGTCGACTGGGGAGCCCAGGGCCAGCGCTCTCTATTCTTGTGCTTATCTCCCACCCTGCCATGTTGGGAGCGGTGGGCTGGGCTTGGCCCAGGCCTGCTCTGGGCCCCTTTGACACCATGGCACCAGTTAACATTCCTCCCTGAGAGGCTGCTGATGGGGAAATATTTTAAGAATCTACCCAAGCCAGGCAGGGGGTCGTGCAGCTGAAGCTAAAGGTTAGAAGCATTGGGGGGAGGGGGGTCCTTTGGCCAGCTTCCTGTCACCTGGATACTACAGTGGGGTTCTAGGGGCCCCATAACAGAGGCACACCTTCAGATACCCAAAGCATTGCCTATAGAGGGCACCCCTGCCCACCAGAGCCCAACTCGCCTACCACACAACATAATTCACAAGGACGAGCCAGGTCAAACATTGACAGAACTGTGAGGCTGTTAAAAAACAAATTTGGTTTCGAAGGCTGCATAGTGGAGTGGATGTGGGGGAGGGATTGTATAACAATGAAAGAATTTTACTTTTCAAAGAGAAGAATGAACCAGAGGGGAGGGTTGGGCAGGGAGAAAAGTGCAATAATGAATGAATGAATGAATGGAAATGCAAAATCTCTCTAAATTTTCATTAAAATTCATAATAATAATAATTTTTAAAAAAGAAAAATATTTGGTTTCCATTATGTGAATTGTGATGTTTTCACAAATTAAAATAAGTTACAGCCAATGTCATAAACCTGAATTTAGGCTGCCTCAGGGGTGAATCTGCAGGTCTCTCCCCACACCAAACCTCCAGGCCATAGTCACTTATCCCTAAAAATAGAACAGAAGCCCAGGCTACCCACCAAGTGCCCTCCTTCAGGCTGAGCTCTTTACATTCACCCATTCTCAACCCCAGGAATGACGTAAGTAAGCACTGGACACTCATTTTCTAAAAGGAGCCATACTCGGTCGGGCCCTACAGAGTACTATGGTTCCCAAATGTTTCTGCCTCAGGAACTCTTCGTTCAAACCAGTCACTTCACAGAAGCGTCAATGACGCAGACACAATGAAGTGAGGGCATCGGGATGCAGAACCTGAGGCTGTCACAAACACCCCCTTCATCTGGCGCCTGGCCTTTAGGAAGCAAGGCCCAGAGAGGGAAGTTTGTCCAAGGTCCCCGGCCACGTGGCCTCTTGCAGATGGTTCATGGATTGTTAGTGCCAGGCAGCAGGTGGAGGGTAGGGAGCGTCCAATGTCCTCATAAATCTCCACCAGCCCCAAACAAAGGCGGTTAGGATAATAAAGATTATTATCCTTAGGATGGAAATTTGGCAACTGAAAGCACCTTAAGTTGCTTTGAGATTTTAAGTCCTAGGTAACCATGAAGGTTTCGTCAAAAGCTGGATTAGCTGCTGCTATGAAATATTCATGTGTGATCAGATCCTCTGGGGTTAGGAAAAGGTGATTACTCTCAGTGGGGGGTTGGGAGCAGGGGGACGGTGGGCTTCAGTCAGCAAAACCGGAAGGGAGCATTCTGCCTCCAGACTATAAATAGACATCCTGCCAGAACTCCCTTCTCCCCTCACTGCCTGACCCACCAGTTTTGGGACACACACCCTCTCACTGCCAACTAGTTGGAGCAAGCCCAAAGCTAACGTCCAGCAGGTTTTCTGAGGCTGAAAATGGGAGGAGAACTTTCTCCTGAAGGAGCCACTGGTGGATTCAAACCACCAGACATGCCACGTTTGGGTTCACAGCACATCTCCAGGACAAGGCTGCCAGAATTGCCAGCCTATCACCAGATCTATAGATTTCAGATTAATGTTGTTGTTATGTCTCATCGAGTCTTCTGCGACTCATGAAGACCCCATGTACAATAAACCTGGGCCTATCCCGGGCCACTTTCACTTACTCTGACACATCTACTGCAAGATTAATAGTACCATAAGAATTTAAATTAATGATAGTTGTTGTTGTTGTTTGAAAGACCTGATCACTTGTATAGCTTTCACTGTTTTTCCAGGTTCATAGAGTTTCCAGAGGCAAGCAATTTTGAAAGTGGATGCTACTCCTGCTTCCAAACTTTCAATCGGGGAGCTCCGCCAAACACTGTCCATCATGGGTAACCATTATCGCATTTGACACATCAGTGTCACAGTGTTTAGCATCACAGCAACCACAAGTTACCTCTGTACAGCAAATGGACAGACCAGTGCTATACTGCTTAGAAGAATGTTTGACCAAAACCCAATTAAAACAGGCCTGAGGGCCACAGATTAAAATCACCCACCTTTGGCTTGGTAGCATCACTTTCTGTTCACTAGGCCAACAGAGTTCTCTTGTTGTTGTTAAGTGTCGTGGAGTCATAAAAGTACCATAAGAATTTAAATTGGTTAACTTTTTAAATTCTAATCAAAGGTAAATAAAAGCCAGACTCCATAAAGAAGAATGTGTCACCAGGATCGGAGGAAGACTTATCAATGACCTGTATTATGCAGATGACACAACCTTGTTTGCTGAGAGTGAGGAGGAATTGAGACATTTGCTGCAGAAGATCAATGACAATAGCCTTCAGCATGGATTATATCTCAACCTCAAGAAACATTCAACATTATGATAGATGGAGAAAGGATTGAAGCTGTCAACAACTTCATCTTCCTTGAAACAACAATCAACACCCTTGGTACCAATGATGTCAGTTTGAAGACTAAAGTGTGCCTAATTCAGGTTATGATCTTCTCAATCACCTATTACACATGAGAGAACTAGACAATGAATAAGAATTACAGAAGAATAATTGATGTCTTTGAGTTGTGGTTTTGGAGAAGAGGGCTAAATATCCCATGGACGGCCAAGAGAACAAACAGATATGTCTTGGAGAGGGGGCAGGCTGAGTTCTCCTTGGAGGCAAAGATAGTGAAATGTAGTCTTTCATACTTTAGACATGTAGCTAAGTGAGGCTATTCTTTGGAGAGGGACATCATGCTTAGAAAGATGGGGGGTCAGTGAAGGAGAGGAAAACCCTCAATGAGATGGATTGACACAGTGACTTCACCAATGCATTGGCTTGAGTGTATCAGAGTTGGTGAGGATGGCACAGAACAGGACAGAGTTAAGGTTGGCTGTTCATAGGTTCACTTTGTGTCATACTCGACAGCCCCTAACAATAAAAACACAACAATATATACCTTGTTTTTGTTATGTTCCTTTGAGTTGGAACTGACTCATTGCTGACCCTCCAGCAGATTTTCAGAGACTATAAACTGCACAGAAGGAGACTGCCCATCTTTCTCCTTCTGAGCATCTGGTGGATTTGAACCACCTAATTTAGGGAGCTCTGGTGGTCAAGTGGAAGCTGTGCTGTAATCCTAAAGGTATGGGGTTTGAATTCAAAAGAGCATGAGTATGTTTGATTCCTAAGTTTACTATAGTTTAAAACAAGTATGATAAGTGAACTCTGGAAGCGAGAGCTCGGGTGGCTTAGCGTGCTTCATGTTGGGCTGCTGACCTGAAAAATCAGTGGTTCGAATCTCCCAGGGGATCCACAGGAGAAAAAGGAGCAGTCTTCTTCCTCAAAGATTTCTCATCTTGGAAATCTGATGGAGAGTGATTATCGATGGGTTTGTTGGGGTTTTTTTTGTTAAAGAAATTTTTATTTTATATTGGTTTGCTTACAAAGTTTATATACATTATTTTTCACAAGATTTTCATTCACATTGTGTTTCATACAATTATTCTCATTCATTATATTTTATAAAATTAATCAACCTTGAAATATGCCCACGACTGCCCTGTCTTTCCAGATCCATGCTGCTGCATTCTTCCCATTTCCTATACTCACACATCTTTGCACCCACCAAATTGTGTGATGTGACCCTATGATTTAACCCCCTGTTCATCCTCCCCTCCTGCTCCTTCCTCCCCTCCTTGGTTCCTCATACACGTTTTACTAGTCATCTTTCTATTTCTACAATAATGGTCTTCTACAGTATTTGTCCTTCTGAGAAAGAGTTAGTTCATTTAGCATAATGCCCTCCAGTCCCTCCCAGGTTATGTATTAAATTTTGAAGTCATTGGGGCTTTTTAATAGAGATCTAAGCAAGAACATTCACCCAAGTCCCTGTTAATAAATCCTGAAAAAGTATCTTACAAGATCATAGGAGCTCAACATATACAGTTAACTACTTCATACACATTATATACCAGTTGCCATCAAGTCAATGCTAGCTCATGGCTACCCCTTGTGTGTCAGAGTGCAACTGTCTTCCAAAGGGCTTGCCATGCCTAGGTTTTTGTATATAGGTCAGATCTTTCTTTGAGACAACTCAGATGAACTTGAACCTCCAATCTTTCCATTAGCAGTCAAGCAAGTTAACCATTTGTACACCAAGGAACTCTCCCAATGGTGGACTCCAAAGGACAAAGGACTCCATCAAGGGCAAAGAATAAATATCTATGTTGAATATTTTGTGCATTTCTCCAGTTCTCCCTCAAGGATTGCCTAGACAGAAGGCTGACACAGAGGCTGTTCCCGAAGCATCCAGAACTGTGTCAGGCCCGCCTTTGAGCCTGACACACGGCAGCGTTCAGTACAGGGTCAGAGGAATGAAGGAAGGAAGGAGGCCACAGCAGAAGGCCAAGGCTGAGCTGACATTGGACGAACTTCTGAAGAAGGAGGCAGCCGAGGCTGGTTTTCCCAGAACTGAAATATACATAGGGAAGGACACCCTGACAATCCCCAGAAGAAAGCTGTGGGAGTCTCTGGGAGAAACAGCAGATTATCCAACAGGAGATGTTCCTGCAGCTGCTTTAATAAAAAAGAACGTGCAGGAGGACCAATTAAATTTCCCATTTTTTACTTTTCTACCGAAGATTTCAGTTTATGAGCAAAAT